GATTTTTTGTCTTTTACTATTTTCTTCGTATTTTCTTCATTCATTTCCACCGTTTTTTTGTATAATAATACGTCAAAGAAGGGGGAGTTTCAGATGTGATATGTGTCAGAGAATTTAATAAAGGTCGTCGTATAAAACGCTCCCAGAGTTTTATTTGGAAGGAAAGTTTAGTTTGGAAGTCATTGCAACCAACCAACCAACACTGAAACATACTCAAGTAAAATTGAAGGGTCCAGCAGGATGTTCATTAAATGTTATTTGAAAACGTACACTGAACTCAATACATTTGTTTCAAAAGAAAAACCTATTTTACCAACAGTGGATTCTACACTGGCACAAATAGGAAATGCAAAAGTATTTTCAAAATTAGATTGTTTATCAAGTTTTTGGTAACTTCCATTATCAGAAGGTCCGAAGCACTACACTGCTCTTTAACACCTTTTGGAAGATACATTTACAAGAGAATTCCTTTTGGAATAACTTCAGCTCCAGAACATTTCCAGAGTACAATGAATAGACCATGAAGGGGTATTAGTATACATTGATGACAGTACAGTTTTTGGAAATATTGTTGCCTTCAAAACTGGTGCAATTGTGACCAGTATTTTTAATTTAATAAAACACTGTTGATGGATATCATTAAACTAAAAAGTATTGTTACGTTTTAAAAGTTCGCGTAGAGGTTTTGTTTCATCTGCAATATTTTTGAGAAATTTTGTAATATGATTTATCATATCGAGAAGCTACGTTACATTTGTCACTGTTTTGGGTTCTTCAAAGTCTAATAGCCTTTATATTGTCACTGTCCATTTTTATACCCGATTGTTCGATAATGTATCGAAGTAATTTCACTTCCGAAATGCCTATCTGACATTTTGACTCATTTGAAGTAAGTCCATTGTCTCGTAACACTTTAAACATTCTTTTTAACCTTTCATCATTCTGTGTCACAAGTTGTACTTAAAAAAAAACCAACAACCCAAACAAAAATTCAAAAACATGGTTTTTTTTTAAGTACAACTTGTGACACAGAATAAGCGACAGGCATTTCTGCATGTGTTTTTGAATTTTTGTTTGTTGTATAAGTAACTCTGTTTGTCATTCTATGTAACATCGTCCTCGTCATTATCCAAAAAAATATTTATAAGTTTTAAGATGTAAAAACATCTGTGCTTTTACAATTTTGACTTTGCTATTTCTGAGGATGGAATTAAATGAAAATTCCGAAACGTAAAAAAAAAAAAATTTGTTTCATTTTTCAACCTGACTGACTCCCAAAAAAACCTCCACTATTATTATTTACTGAGTTGATCCTGGGTTGAAAACCCGGGTACCCATGCATAGAGCTAAAAGTTCAAAAAAAAAGTTACAGAGCATTCGAATTATTCTTCTTCTACAATATTCTTAATTTAATTTTTTTAATTTGACTCCGAATTCATTTCCTGTCAGTTGGTAATAAATCCCTGATGTTGCGAAGTAGTATAGTGATATTTTTATTAATAGGGTTATAATGGCATATGTTAGTGGTTCGTCGTCGTTTTGTCTGTTCTGGAAGCATACAGTTGAATTTGAATGATGTTTGATTTCATTGGTGTACCTACACTATTTATTTGGATGAATAATATTCTTCCACAAATAGCTAAATATATATACAATTTTGTGAAATATTTCTTAGCTTCAAAACAGAAAGCTAGCTACTCACTATGGACCTTCCGCAGGATCTGTGGAAAATCATGGGGAATTGGGCTCAAGAAAATATAATGTTTATATATATTATATATGATGGTCATCAGACCAGTAATAACATATACTCAGTAGTAAACAATAGTCGCAGTGAAGGGCCGTAATAGGCCCACTGATTTTCGACCTAACCTACCCTAACCTAGCCTCCTGGAAATACTAGCATACATACAGCTCCATACATTCCAGGATAGTGTATGTTGTTTGTGAATTCTGAACTATATAGCCATTAAGACCAAAATTCATCCTTTGACAGACATTGGGTACCTTCATAGCTTATTACTCCAGAGTCCATTTATATCAGGCCGGAAAAGCAGCATCTGCTGAAAAAATCCGAGTAAGCCTAAATTTTGTCTACACCTTTATTTTACCTCACGAAATAATGTCTTAAAAGTCCCCATCAATATCGCGCTTGCTTTTTCAGATATTCAAGGTCAAAAGTCATGAACGCCATTCAATAACGATTGTTTGCCAAATGACATTTGCTTCATTGGTTATCTGTCAACTATGATCAACCGGTTAATCGCATTTAATCGATGCAAGTTAGTGCAAATCTATTTGGCAAAAAGTCTAGACGTTTCGTTTTGTGATTTAATTAGCCATCGCGATGGATGAGTCTTGTTTTATTTGCAGTCAATCGCTCTTGAAAGGTGTTACAGTGACTGCAAAACGCGGTATAGATGCTTTAAGAGAAGCAAGTGTGGAAAGAGAAGATGAACATGCAGAACGTTTAAGGGATACAGATTCGGTAACAGTACATAAAAACTTTCGCAAGGAGTATACATAGTGGCATCTAAAAGTCCCCTCATTTTTCTCGACAGAAGTGTGGTGACTTGCTTACCCTACACTTGGATCGCGTATCAGGCTGACAATACTTTGCGTGGGTCCCCTCACTATCGGGATCGCTTTAGGCGGCCAGTGGACGAGCCCCTCCAGTATTGTTGGTGCAAGCTGCTTACGAACACGAAGAAAGAAAAGAGAGAGCCAACGATTAAATCCTTCGGGAGCAAAATGAGGTTTTCGGAAAACCCAGTTCGTCGTAAGGGAAACCCGCATCAATCCTCGAATTGGTGGTTGGTGTCCTAGGGGAGTAGCATAGTTTCATTTAAAAGACGACGAGATGACGATGCTGCTGGTACATCTCAGTATTTTCTTCGCAAAACACGCTTTAGCTTGGGATCTTGTGATTTAAAATTTAAAAACTTTGTGTTTTTTTTTTTGTGGTGAAGAAGCCAACGTGGAAACAGAGACAAAAAAAAACTAAGAAATCTCAATGTATAATTAGAAGTTTGGCAATGAGCAGAGAACCACGCAACTTTCTCTCACAACGCCAATCAAAAAGATCTGTAGGCTCATGGTGGCTTAGTTAGTTAGAGCGTAGCACCGGCCAGGACAAAACTTTCAATCCTCTAATTTTCCTTAGCTTTCTTTTCATTTCCAATTTTCACGCTTTTCGGTTGTTGTAACCGACAAAACTTTATTCCTTTTCGACCATGATTTGTTTTCGCGATACTCAAAGTGTCATTTTAAGTAAAGCTTGGTATGAAAATAAGAAATCTCAACCGGCAAAAGAACGCCTTCGAGTTGTACAAACTGTGACCAAAATTATCAGAGAAGACATTCGTTTCATGACTGTTGATTGTCAATCTTATCCTCCTCCCAGTAGAATGTCTCATAATCTTAACGAAAACATCCCACAGAGCCTTTCTCACTTTATTGAAGAATTAATTCTGAAAAACAAAAAAGGCAAAACTGACCATCTTAAGTGTAAGTGTATGTACCACTATTTGTCATGCTATTATGGCTACGATACGTGCACGATCCTTCATATCTAACCTTTTCTAGATATTTTGTCAACTCTTGGATTCAGCGCGTCGTATAGAGAAATATTAATGTATGAAGTTGCTGCTGTCTACCATCCACAACCAGATATTCTATCATTTGAAACTGGTGCTCTTATTCAGTATTCAGCAGACAATGCAGATATCAATGTCTACACAATAGATGGCCACAACATGCTTCACATTATGACGTGGCTTATTAAAATAGTAACACCAAGCAGCGCCGGTGCTTCTGAAGAATCCATGAAGAAATATACCACGATGTAACTGTCAACCCATCGGTCGATACCAAAATAACGGCCTCTCGGTGAAACGGGGGACGGATGATGACGTAATCTTTACGGTCAGTTGCTGATGCGCACTGCGGGCGCCACCCTCAAGATTATAGTGGTTGAGAGTCCACTAGAACCAGGTAGCTTGTTACAGTGGAGAAAGAAAAACCAGGGACCAATGCGCAGATAAAGGAATAAAACAACTATCGAAGAAATAAGCCCTAGGTTTAGCACCAGTCCCCGAAAGCTTCTAGCGACAAATTCAGAATCGCGTGTTTCAGCGGGGTAGAAAGTATAATTGATCTATGTCCGTACGTTCAACCAGGACATAAGGATTGCGGTTATCCTGCTGGACTTGTCTGTACAGCCGAGACTTGTCCTGATCAGTCTACCCACTACCCAACTCTTTTCAGTACGGGGCGCGGTATTTCGGAGAAGAACTGAACGGTACAAATGTTAACACCAAATACATTATGGGCCGTTGCTCTGTTTAATGTTAACATTTGTACGTCGTGGAAGAGGGGACAGATTACGAGAATGAAGATCGCACATTCTACATTCTACCCTCTGTTTTTCTGGCGTATCAGGTGGAAACGGTTGGTATGACATAAAATATGTGAATAACATTTTTTGAAGAGAATTTCCCAATATTTTTAGCCAAAATAGTCGTAGGACATAGTGAAGCAAAATATTTAAGAAAAACTCATTTCTGTGATATTTGAGCTTGAATATCTTGGAACGCAAACAAGATATCAGTGGGGATGTTTAATACATTAATTATTGAGGTAAAATAAAGGTGTAGACAAAATTTAGGCTCACTCGGATTTTTTCAGTAGATGAATCCTTGACTGTAGTAAATCACCTACATCTTTTTAAGTTTCCGAATACCTACTTCTATTACTTGCCGGCAAGTATTTCATTATTGCTGAATAATTCTATAGTATGGAAAAACTCCTATCTTACTGTGTCTGCCGTCTCACTGAAGACATCTTCTTCTTTCAACCTGTAATCTTCTACTTTTGGAATCTGGGCTTCTTCCAAATTTTTCAAGCCCTTCCATCTTCAGCAGTTTGGATCCAATCCACTCCTGCTATATTCTGTTTGTCAGAATAGTTTATCCTATATGTATATATTTATTTTGTTTCAGAGTCAGCCATAATGACAAGACGACGGTTTACGTCAGCAGTAGCGCTAGGTGCTATAGTATGCTTATGTGCCATAGTGGTAATCGTGTGGGTGCAATTTAGTCAAGGGGCTTTCCGTAGACGTCATAAGTTGAATGTTGATGAAATTAATAGGACTGCAATGAATTTGGGTGTCACTTTGGAACCCGTCACGGTCAGGCCGGTAACCACAATGGTACCTGCAGTGGTGGTGGAAGCCAAAAAGAAAATCATTGAGACGGTTACTAATAAAGGAAAAGGTAAGTCTTTTTTTGCACCAAAAACTATTTTCCGTTTCTATTACAAAACAATACATTTTTGTTAGTTAATGGTTATAGTCAGGTTATGTGGCTTCTGGTGAATACGAATTGAAAAATTAACCTTGAGTTGTACGACAATACTGAATATTTCCTTGCTGATATTTAAAAAGATGATAAATGACTTGGAAACGAGACAATTTTACAATTTCGCCATATGAAATTCGCGAATGACTAAACGATTTATAAGTACCCCAGACAATTGGTTAGACGCAAGTTGTATGTACGGAAAGGTATTGACCCCATTTAGTAAATTATTTTTGGTCTTTAATTTTTGTGGAAGTGCTAAATTTGTTAGTTCATGCGTCAAAAATTATATTTTTAGGATGTTGCCTGGAAGTTTTTGTCTGAGATTTGTCCAAAAAAAAAGACAATGAACTTATTTCTAGACTTTCTGTCTAATAATAAATATTTGGATTTTAGACTTCTCTATCGAAATAATTTGACTATGACGTTTAGTCTATGGTATGTAGCAGAACGTGGTGGCTATTTTACTAGAATGTTCTGCATAGAAGAATTTCTTGCCTTGTAGAAAAATAATTCTATTACTGTCCTAGTATTTTTATCTCTGGGTCAAAATTCAAAAACCTCATGAAAATACTTTGAAACAGGTGCTTTTAAAATTAAAACAAACGTTCATTACCAATATTATGCTGCTTATTGGAAATTCCAATGCGATGAGCACCTAGTATCGAGATGTCAATAATCCTCTCCACTCGCTATGATCTACTGTTTGTATTTTGCAATATTAAACACTACTAGGACATTAAACGGCCTTGCCTATTTGCATAAAAGATTTCGAAGACCGTCTAAAATCGAGTTTATTTATTGCCGGGATTTATTTAACGCACGCCTACACACAAAACTAAAACACCGTTTTGTTGGTTTACTGTCTTTTACCTACCTGTTTTTGTCGTCAGTTGACAACAGAAGAAGATTCTTGTTTATTGTAAAATATTTTTATTTGATTTCAAGGTGTTTGGAGACGTATTATGTCCTCAAATGTCAGATTTTTTTGAAGTCAAACCTTCCTAGAATACAAATTTGGATGCAGAACTAGTATTTATAAAAAAAAAAAATGCTAATAAAGAGTGATATTTTTAATCTCTATAGAGGAAAAGTTCATAGAAGTTCTAAGAATTTACAATTTTTTGAAAACCAAAGATTACAATATTTGTCTTATTTAACATTTACCCGTTCTCTACCTCTCACGGCTTCCGGAATAGCAAAAGAACAAATAATATGTCTGTTGGAGATTTATAAACTTCCAGAATAGTCTGGAAAGATCTGTGCCTACATGCGTTCACTCTCCTGGCCCATGTGTTTCACCATAATCTCATTATATTTTACTTTAATGCACATTAAAATATTTCCCACAGCATCTATTACAATTTAACAAATCCATTTTAAATCACTCGTTTAATAACCCAATTAAAAATGTTCATATATCATCGTGGCTCATAATAAATTTCCGTCGTATTTTCCCGATTTAGCTCCCACTGACCCAGTGACAATGACCCTGCGGCACTGACGTTTCTCGTGGCAGTGCCTTTTTTAAAATTTAAATTCTCTCACCATCAATGCATGCCTTTCATCGAGTCGTTTTGTGACTGCTGAGAATGTTTTGATTCCTGTCGGTTTTGTTTTTGTCTCTTGTCAAAAATTGATGTTGACTTGTGAGTGACGCGAAATTAACCATCATTGTACTGATATTGTGCAGATAACTTATATATTGTGCCGTCAGAAATAATATGACTTTTTAGAAATTATTAAGAGAGTGTTGTGAGACAATTTAATGCTGTGCTCATTTGAATAAAGTTTATAAGTACAAAGTACAAATTAGATATTATATTCTATTAGTCGTTAAGTCGTAACTTTAGAGGTGGGCTATAGGTTTTCCAGTCTATATTAGTAATTTACAATATGTAATATGTTACTGTTGTTGTTGCTGATCGAGTTGCTGATGATGTATCTGAATTTCTTTTTCCATCACTTGAGCGCTTGTTGAGTATTGTACATTGTACATATTCTAACATGAGTGTCCCTGTGTTAGTCCTTTAGTTGCTGTAAAGCCCTTGATTATGGTACCTTGTTTAATCTTGGCTTTTCCTACTATAGAGGGTTTTAACTGCCCTTATTAGACAAAAAAATTGTTTTATCTTCGAAAGACCAGGTGTCCTATCTAAGCTCCAAACAATTTGCTAATAACTCATATGATGCGTTTGAAATGAAGTTCTTAGTCATAGTTTCGTTTCTATCACCTGGGTCAAACTAAATAAGTGCTCTTCTGTTGATCTTCCTGCTCTAAATCCGGCATTTTCTTCTGCTTCACTATCTTTGTACTCGTTTTCTATTTTAGTTTTCATAGCTTTTCCATGTATGTACTTTACTTAAGAGGGGTGTGGAAATAAAAAGCTATTTACAAACCTTCACAAATTGATGTTCAATTCCGAATTTAGACCACTTTTCAGTAAAATGAAGTTAGGTTCATAACAATAATAGATTGGATTAGGGGTTTATCCCATTTTTGTTGCAAAATACGGACTATAAATAGAAAAATTATAAACAATTTTGTTGACAGCAATATGCAAATTTTGCTCATGGATTTAAATGAAAAGGGGAGAAAAATTTCCAAAATTTCGGATCATAAAATGCTGGAATGAATGAATATTAACAATTTTGCCGAAAACTTATAATGTTTTTTTTTTACTTTGTTTTGGCTTCACCCCTTAGGTATCTAGCCACATCTATTGGCGCTGTCCAGGAATGACCGGCCCGCAATCGCCCTTTCCAGCAAGTTACGCAGGAGTCGTATCTTAGTTTCTCTTTCGATTTTCGTAATTCTCTCTCGTCTATTCGATTAGTCTTTCCTCTCTATCCTTCCTGTTAGTAAGATATCACACACATAGGAAACATATTCACATATTCCAAAGGGAGTTGACGAAGAAAAATTTTAAGATTTCAGGATTCTACAATTCTATATTATTTGCTCTAAGAAAGTCCAAAATTAGTTTGTTTGTTCTTACCTTAGCATTGAATATCACTGAGTCAATTGAAATTGGGGTTTGGACCCCATTTTGTATGAATATATCGTATAGGTTAGGTTGCAGGTTTTGGCATTCAAAAACCAGGTGTTCTAATGTTCCCACCTCCCCAAATTCACATTCCGGAGAATCCTTTATCCCCAGTCTATGAAGGTGTGCCGTCCTCATTCTGATGATTGTCGTTATATGTCTTCTATCCAAATATTCCAGATTGTTGAATCCGGGTTCATCCGGAAACGATCCTACATTTTGATTGTACTTTATGCCCTTGTTTCCTGATGAGTTCTTCCAATATTCCTTCCAAATTCGCTTATGCTTCCTCTTAAACTCCGGAATATATTCCTTGATATCCAATAGGATGGGGTAAAGGATCTTAAGTAATGTTCTCCCAATATTAGCAAGTTTGTCAGCAATTACATTTCCCTCTATGTTTGCGGGTCTAGGAATCCAGCAAAGCCGGATGTCCAAGCCAGCTTCATTCGCCTCTATCAATTGTTGCTTGGTAGACATTTGAATATAATCTTGGTTTTTTTGTTCTCTGTCATTTATGGCCTTCACCGCACTTAGTGAATCTGTAAAAATAACTAATCTCCCAATATTCCTTCTGAAGCACTCACTTGTGGCTTTATGAATTCCTATGATTTCTGCTGTGCAAATTTGGGTGAATTAGGGAGTTTCGGTGAAAAGTTATATTTAAGTTTGCGACAATGGACCCCAAAACCAGCCTCGTTTGTTTCTTTCAAAACCGAGGCATCAAAGCAAAAATGAGTATAATTTTTAAATTTTTCCCTTGTAACTGTCAAGAAATTTCCTGTCAGGGCCATGTCGTTTTTATTACTGTTAATTTCTATTGTAGGTACCTCACTGATAAAATTTATCAGTTCAAATTCAAAGACTTGAGAAGGAATTGTTTCATACTTTTTGATTTTGTCCTCAAACTCCTCTGCTTCACCAATATATTTGTACCAAATAAGGTGCCTCTCTACTAGCGAAGTATCCATTGTTGCTATTCATTAATCTAAATTCCTATTAAGTCAATTATAATATTATTCCTGAACTTGATATTTTTAATAATGCATTTTTAGGCTAACCATATTCTTCTTGATTCTAGTGATTCTTCTCCAGACTCAGCGAGTTGTGGATTCGTTGGGGTTGAACGCATACAACCCAATACCACCCTTAACGCCTGAAATTGTATGGTATCCAATTTTGTTTTATTTTTTTTAGTTGTGGGTGTAATGAACTGAGACCCATAGTCCAAGTGTGTCCTGATTATTCCTTTATATATCTGTAGTAAAGTTCTGGGGTCTCAACCCCACCACACTATGGTTAGACTCTTGATTACATTGATAGCTTTCCCAGCCTTAACTGACATGTTTTCAATCTGCTTTGTCCAATTGGGATTATCTGAGATAATCACCCCCAAATATTTGTATTCTTTAACCCATGGGATTCTTTCGTCTCTGTATGTAACATGAATGTTTGGAGCTGTGTGTGATCTAGGTTCCACCAACATCGCAGCCGATTTTAAGGCAGAAATCCTTAAATTTAGTTCTCCGAACCAAGTTGAAATTTCAGACATTGCCAGGTTAATTTCACGAACCATTTCTTCCACATCAATTCCCTCTATAAATAATGTAAAGTCATCTGCATATTGAATAATTTTAATCCGTCCTTGAAATTTATCATGGTGTAAATATTAAATAAAATTGGGCCCAGTGGTGAGCCCTGTGCTAATCCAGTTAAGATCTCTTTCGGGCCTCTCAAGAGTTCCTCTCTATCCCTAATGAATACTTTGCGATTGGTTAGAAATAGAAAATCCAATTTTTTATAGTTGGAGAGATCTCCAAGTCTTCCATTGTTTTATAAAGGTGATAAATATTGACATGGTCATAAGCT